TAAAGTTCGGATACCGAATAATCCGACCAAGTCCACCTTACGCGAAAAACAACCACAAAAATCAAAAAATCGCGTCATCTCAATACGACAAAACAACGAGTACGATAATACGGTTAACTTAAAATCGTTAAACGAATCATATCGTCAAGCGTCTTCGCGTACATCAATTACGACTCACGGGGCCCGAATGCCCACACAATTCCATATCATTATCATCAACACAAGAGCAGATCAATCAAACGTTTAATACCGCGCGCAAAACATGATATGGGTACCAAATTACCCGACTAGGCCTCTTAGGCCCCATTCAATAGCAATTCCGAAGAATTGTCCATCCATTTCACCGACTTAGCTCATCCGAGAGCATAAAACACGACTAAAATACAAGACGGCAGGCCCATGCCTGAGAACGATCAACATGATGATTGAGGGTCCCAAAGCACCCTGAAATTATATATCGACACATATCCATTCGATGATCTCTATAAGAAAAAGACATGGTATTACAATCTTATGTATTGCATGAATGCTATCTATCTCAGCATGAAGAGTCTCAAGCTCAAAAAATTATAGCACAAGTCTGCCAAATCGTATTAAAATGCGACTTCAGGATAGTTCTGTTCAGAACATGTCCTAAAGTCGGGGGCCTCTTGTTGATACACAATTTGGCCTCGATTAATAATAAGATGACACGTGGATATATATTAAATAAATATAAATATAGCAGGTCATCTGAGCTGATTATTTAACCGAGTTCCCCAAGTGTCCAGATCTCCCACGTTCAAGTCGAGCAGAATTAAATATCGCCAGCCCGACCCGAATACTGAGAAGATCCATCCCCGGAAGACACAATAATAGCTGATAAAATAGACGTCATTCAAAGCCGTCAAGTGTCACGATCGGGCCCCACGAAGTCATGTCACATTAAACACTAGTGTACTTTTTTATCTATTTTTTAATAAGCCACTTGTAAAGGGCCATGTATATATAATGGAGAGAGGAGAGAGAAAAGGGGGAGGACACTATTCATTGTCTTCTTCAAACACACAAAATGAACAAAAAGGGGAGATCTTCATCTCCCAATACTCAATAGAAATACAGATCAATTCACCGATTATTCACAGAATATGGGTGTATATTTTCGTTGATCAGATCCGTTTATCAACATATATTAATCATGTTAATTAGTTTATTGTGCTCCCACTACAACAAAGTCCCTATATTAATTAGTATATATGTTTTAATTATTTTAACTTTTAGTGGATCTTATTGCAATTTAAAAAGTTCCAGCAAATTTCTTTGCAGCAACATTTTGTACTCACTGCTCACTCACCTCAAATTGCATTTTTTCTTCTACTCTCTCACAGACACAACAGAGAATGATTAATTATTAAACGCTATCAGAACATAAGAACACGTAGAGAACAACTGTAATGTGGCGTTTGTCGTTCTTTTTCGTTTCTTTTATGAATTATATTGTTGTAATGTGATGTTTGTCATTTTTTTTGGTTCTCTTATGAATTACATTGTGCCCCCCTACTTTTAAATCTCTGCGTCCGCCCCTGGTCCACCCCCTCCCCCCTCTGCCTGAGGCCCACCGCTGCACTATCTGAGTTGGATTCCACCGAGTCGGGGCCGAGGGCCCTCTTTTATGCTTGTTACTAAGCCTTGCGGGAGAGTGGTCGAGCTCGCCGCTCGCTATCTCTCCAACCAAGGTCGGGTCGCCAATCGTCAGTGCCGGGCCCCTAGCCTTCTGAGTTCACTGGCCGCTAGTGTGTATGGATGCTCCTATGTTGCAGTCCAAGGATGCGGCTTGCACGTTTTTGGATCCCTTTCGAGAGCCCTTCGATGTGGGTCTTTGGTGGCTTTTTCGGTAGCTCCTCTCACAGCGTGGTTGGTTTTTCGGAGTCCAGATCTGAATTGGGAGCATACTCTTCTTCATACCCGTCTAGACGGCACAAGTGGTCGCAATTTTTGGGCATGAGGTTCTAATTTGCGGCTTTGTTGGATTTATATGCTATGGAAAGTGGCTCGTGTGCGATCTCGGGTGCCGAACTGTTAGGTCTATTAGGTGTAGGGGAGGTTTTTCTCTACTTGTATATTAGGTGTGTATTTTTATTTGTTTTTTGTTTGTTTCCAACTTGTCTGGTTTTCTCTCCTTTATGGAGTTTTGTTTTGTTTTTGCGGTTGCCTCTTTGATGGAGTTGTACTTCTTAGATTCTTCTGGAATTTCAAGAAGGTAAGTCTTGATTTTTTGGTTCTTAGGTATCAATTGACATTTCATCTGTACTCTTTTTGAGTTTTCTATCTAAGTGTTTGCCGTTGAAAAAAAATAAAATAAAATAAAATATACTAGTTATTCAATTAACCTAATAAAAAAAAAATATATGCAATTTGCTCCACACTTTAGTCTTTAGCAAGTTGGTAGACGAGATTTATCAAGTGCCAACCTACCTTGACATCCAACCCAAAAAAGAAAGAATTAATTATCTATAGAATGTGCCATTCATCAACAAAGGGTATAAACTGCATTTCGAGTACAAAATAGACAACAATACGATAACCATTTACCTTGCAATTCGGTCAATTAATCCAATCTCTAACCTTAAAATTTCCAACAAAACACCGAAAGTTGTATTGTTATGCAATAAGGCTAATAATATCATTGAACATTATCTTTCGACTTTTAAACTTTTTTCAGTTCTTACAATATGAACAAGAAAAAATACAAGTAATATCTTATGTCACATTTGAGAAAAAAATCGCGTTAGGTTCCGTTATAAACATTCTAAAACAAGATTTAAGTATTGAGGAATAGAGTCATATGTGGGTTACCAATTTTGATTTGAGAGTTGAGACGATGTTGAAACTCAGTGTTTGCTCTTGTTCGAAAAGCCGTATATATGTTGTCTTGCACAATGAAACAGATAAAACAATAATAACATAAGATAAAAACGATCATGAGGTAAGATCATAAGAAACTGTTAGCAAAACTAAAATGAACTTTTTTATTTCAGAGGCATTGTCAGGGAAAAGCCCGAGCCGCGCAAATCTAACCATACGAACGTGTGATCTCCCGAGTCATGATATGGAACAAATTCGAAAAACTTAATAAATGATTTGAATCGTAAAAGTCATATCCGCAGTGCATCTTTTTTTCCGAGACTCTGTTCATAACAGTGGATCGTGCTCGACTTGGAAACAAATTGAGAGAACTTAAAATCATATAACATATGATAGATTAAGTCATTAATCATCAAAGTGCACATATTATATTCCATTTTTGACCATATCAAATTTTAAATTATTACTAGCTAATTAAACACAAGCATATATATTCATTTGATCTCATTTAAGAATCAAGAAATTGTTGTGTTGGCAGACTTAATCATTAAACGAGTTGATCCGTCAAATTATGTGAACAAAAAAATGCATATGCATATACATTTACACCGCTAAATATCATACATTTATTTATTTTATATTATTAAATTGAATTGATTGTCAATAAATCACCGAAAAGTTTGTAATTAAATTCAGTGATCACACCATAAATCCCCAGCACTCACACAAAAAGTAAACACCACAAATAATTTAAGGGTGTGTTTGGCAAAACTAGCTGATAGCTGAAGAGCTAGTTTATAGCTTATATGTAATTTTTGAGCTTATAGCTTATAACTTATGACTTATATCTGAAAAGCTAGCTTATATGATAATAGTGTTTGGTAAAATTAGCTTATAACTGAAATAAAAAATTCAACTAGCTTATTATGAAACGCTACTTAAACAAACTTATCAAATAAGCTCGAACTTTTTAAATAAGCTCGTCCTACCAAACAGGGCTTATTTTATACATGAAGCTTATAAGCTAACCAAATAAGCTATGAGCTAGCTTATTTGGTTTGTCAAACAAACCCTAAGTGTGACCCCCAAAGTGAATATTAATAATGTTATTGTTCAATTAGCATCACTAATTTTCCCCTTTTTATAGCCATCATAATTTGCGGGCTGTGATTAAATTTGTTGATGCATCTTTATTTATTTATTTATTTTCTTATATATATATATATATATATATATATATATCCATGAAAATAGAGAATTTTTGGGCAACAAATGTTCCGTACGTAAAGGATTGCTCTTGCTTTTTGAAGAGTTTCGAAAAACTATTTTATCACTACTTTGATCAGAAAGTGATTTTGTGGGTGAAATTCAAAGCTTGAACTACCACTTAGGAAGATATAAATTCAATTAATGGAAAATGCTACACTCCGGAACCATTTCGTCGGGATTTGTAACCGTTAGATCATCATATAACCGTCATGGATAGTTGATTTAACGGTTACATAACCACAACAGAATGGGTCCGTAACGGGACTATAGATAATTATATTTTATAATAAGTATGCATAATTTCATATAAAAATACAGTATTTTTTCTGTATAAATATAATAATTAATTGACCTAACCCTTTTTTTCTTTCAATTATCAAATATTATTAGGAAGTGATACCCAATTTTGGTATTATTAAATGGAAGATTTAATATGAATAAAAAGGAAGTGTATATTTGACTTACTTATTAAGATTGATAATAAGGTTACATGTGGCCATGGCCCAAGGCCACGCTGCATATATGCATATTTCGCCTCTTCACATCCCTTATTTATTGCAACATTTTCAAGTCCTCACTTTTGTCTTTTCATTACAATTATGATGCAAGAATAACCATAACAATATAGTAATAAAAAATAAAGAATAATCACCAATTTTTCATTTTTAGCAAATTATTTTATTTGATATTTAAATAAAAAAAAATGGGTTTATATATAAATTTCATCACTCACTACTCACCAGCTCAATTTTAATTTCGACTCAGAATATCATGCCTAATTCTCTTGATCCACATTACCATTTTTCTTTATCAAGGTCCTTTCTCTTACTTTTATTTACTTTTCTGGTCCTTTTTTTTGCATCAATTAAAAGTGATGTGTGTTTACAGGGGGATAAACTATAAATAAACGTTTTTTTAGTGGCTAATTGGTTTAATTCTTTATTTATTTGTTGGTGTAATGAAGATTCTTGAACTTGACGCACCCAAATGAGCCTTTTAAAAAAATACATTACGAGTGATTTAATTAATTATTTTTATAGTTTATACTGACTGTTGGATCACGTAATTGAGCGAGATGATCACGTCACGATTCCGATTCAAATCGCAGGCGTTTCGGAATATCCCGGCGGGAACCGGTGCGGCCGGACAGCCGGGACGAGACCGGAAACGGTGGCCGCCAACCTCCGGCCGCCGCCGGGGAATGCCTAGCGTGCACCCGGGCCGGTGCCCCGGCCTTCCACTCCACCAGCTGCGACGGGGCCCGCCAGCCCGGGTGGGAGGCCCTCGCCGGCTCCTCCCTGCTCCCGATAAGGCACCGTCCAGGCCGAGAGCTCGCGGCCCGGCTGGACGATTTGGGCAGGACCAGTAAGCGCGTGTTCGATCCGCGCAGCAAGCGCGTGCAGAGGTGGAACCGTGCGTTCCTCCTGGCGCGCGGGGTGGCGCTGGCAGCGGACCCGCTGTTCTTCTACGCGGTGTCGATCGGTCGCGGTGGGTCGCCGTGCCCGCGCGTGGACGGCGGGATGGCCGCAGCGGCGGCCGCGGTGCGGACGTGCGTGGACGCATTGCACCTCGGCCACATCTGGCTGCAGTTTCAGCTGGCCTACGTGTCCCGGGAGTCGCTGGTGATCGGGTGCGGGAAGCTCGTGTGGGATCCACGCGCCGTCGCCGCCCACTACCTGCGCTCGGCCGAGGGCTTCTGGTTTGATGTGTTCGTGATTCTCCCCGTTCCCCAGGTAAATTTCCATTTTCACCCCCTTATTTTTGCTCTGATTTGATTTTTTATTTTTTTTTTCTTTTTCGGCTTTACTTTTTCAATGTTCAGGAGAGATTGGATATAAATTATTTTTGTTTTGTCTCGTCGGATCATTTTTTTGTAGTGCCACTCGATATATTTTTGTTTCTCAGAAAAAATCGATATGCATTTGATTTTAATTACTAATTACCAATTTTCAGCTAAATTTCAGTATTCATTTATTTATATAATTTTAATTACTATTTATTTGCATTCATTATTTACTACTTTTGTATCACATCAATTTTAGAGAAATACTGTCGAGATTTGTAATCGCTAGATTATAAATATTCATAATGCAACTGTTAGAGATAATTGATCTAACAGTAATTACAAACCCCGAATTTAATGTTTTTATAACGGGACCGTAACATCTTCCTCAATTTTTATCACTAACCCATGTTTGGTTCAAGTAAGGGAAAGGAAAGGGAGAGATTTTAATGGAAGGGAGGTAAGGGGAGGGGAAGCGATAGTAAAATAATTTTAGTTTGTTTGGAGAGATTTTGTAGGAGGTGAGTGGAGAGAAAATGATAAACCTTGTTTGGTTAGAAAAATGGAAGGGAAAGAAAATATTATAAAAATGACAATTATACCCTTAATGATGTAAAAAAACAAAAAATAAAATAATTCACATAATTAAGGTCATAAGAGTAATTTTGTTATTAAACTTTTTCCCTCCCCTCCAAATTCCCCCACTTTTGGAGGGGAGAATATTTTTCCTTGGAGGAGGGGTTTGAAGGGAAAATTATAACCTCTCCCCCTACATAAAATTAAACCAAACAATGGAAAATTAAAAAATTCCCTCCCCTCCCTTCCCCTTTGTTTCCCCCGAACCAAACACTGCTTAACATTTTATCTCACACCTAGAGATGTTAAACGAGCTAGCCCTAGCGGGCTTCGGGTTAAACGGTTCGGGCCAAAACAAGCCCGAATTTAAACCGGCTATAAAAAAAGGGACCTAACCCTAACCCTAACGGGCTTCGGGCTAAACGAGTTATGCGGGCTATAATATTAATAATAATAATAATACTAATAATAATATATAAAAAAATCAAAAATAAAAAGAGTAAAAAAATTATTAAAAAAATAACAACGATTGTTAAAAATTATTTTTAACGGCCATTTAGTATCTACTGTCTATCACTATGTTTCATGTGTTTTCTATTAGTCGTTTTGATTGACTTAAATATTTTGGTATGAAGTACAATAACACTATTGTTAATAATTATCTTTCAAAATCATAATAATTCATTACAACTCATACTTACATGTGAAGTAGAATACCAAAATAGTAATATATAAGTAATTTAAGAGCATATTACTTACTTGATGCAACCATTTACACCGTCCAACCCTAATTAAACGGGCCAGCCCTGGCGGGTTTTGGGCTAGCCCCGCTTCGGGCTAAATAGCCCAAGCCTAAAAAACCCTGATTTAAACGGGCTACTAATAAAAGGACCTAACCCTGTTTTTTTTCGGGCTAAATGGGCCGGCCCGTCGGGCCAAGTACCGTTTAACATCTCTACTCAAACCAGTGAGAATTCCAAAAATATTTAATTCTTCCACCAAAATAATATTATCTACAAAAGTTTTGCAACTGGAATTAGTTCATAAAATGACAGTTCAGAAATTAATTTGGCCTACAAAAATGTTGTTATATACACCAATTATATATCAAAATTGCATATTCTTACAACGGGCCCAGCCCTCATTGTGTCACCCATTACATGCAATATTGCGTGTACCTTTGTTTACATTTGAAAAAAATAGTATTAATCCAGCGACATTTTGTTAAGACTTTAGCCAAAAAAAGCTTGTGCAGCCCTTTTCTTTTAACCATTGCAATCTCAACATGAAATGGGCAAAAACACAATCAATCTTTTTCCCTTGTTAATTTAAATCATAAGTTTGAAAATGAATGGATTTTATTTTTGTACGTATGCGGTGTAATAATCTCGTTTTTCGCGTTCGTGCAGGCCATATTCTGGCTAGTAATTCCGAGATTGATCAAGGAGGAACGCGTAAAGCTTGCGATGACTATCATCCTTTTGATCTTCTTGTTCCAGTTCCCGCCAAAAGTCTACCACATCATATGTTTGATGCGTAAGATGCAAAAAGTTACCGGTTATATATTCGGGACCATATGGTGGGGTTTCGGGCTAAACCTCATAGCCTACTTCATTGCATCTCATGTACGTTCGAATTAACTCGGCCCAACCAAGAATGCAATAGTTTCTAGTGGATGGGAGTGTCTGGACCTTCGAATTCGAGTCTCAAATGATTCTGGGTTGGCACGACATGGCCCATTGTCATTCTTAGAGGTGTAAACGAGTTGAGCCGAGATCGAGCTCATGTTGCTTGAGCTCGAGCTCTTAACGAGCCGAGCTCACTCGGCTCATTAACTTAACAAGCTTATAATTGAGCTCGAGCTCGACTTGTTTATCATTATTAACGAGCTGAGCTCAAGCTTAACGAGGCAAAATCGAGCTTTAACAGGCCGAATTGTCGGAAGAATTCATAAAGATCATCTTTTCGAGCCTTAACGAGCCGAGCTTCTTCACTTAACGGCTTTAAATGAGCTTGAACTCGGCTTATTTTTACTCCTACGAAATGTAAAAAGAAAAAAAGAAAAGGATAAAAAAAGACAATAGACTTTGGCCAAATGAGTGAACATAATAAGCTTTATATAACCATATGTTGTTTATTATTATTATTATTATTATTATTATTATTATTATTATTACAAAATGTTTACTACTATATATACTGAAATGTCATACTTCGCTTATATTGTATATTAAAATATGACATTCGAGTATGAAAGTACGTATATTTGTTGGAAGAGTGTGACGGTCTAAAAAAGACGTATCGTTATCTTTTAAGTAATACATGTCTAGCTAGGCTCTAATTTGTTGGTGATGTGATTTGAAATTTGTGTTTGATTTTTTGTCTTCAAAGGTTGCCGGTGGCTGCTGGTACGTGTTGGCCATGCAACGTGTTGCCTCGTGCCTCAAGCAGCAGTGTATAAAGAACGGGCCTTGCAATCTCTCGTTATATTGCTCGGAGGAAATTTGCGACCGGGCTTCATTACCGACAGGCGTTTTAGAAAATCGATGTATGACGAACTCGACGGCCCTGGCTGGAGTGTCGTTGTGTCTGGATGTTGATGGCCCTTTTCGTTACGGAATTTACAAATCGGCCCTCCCAGTCGTGTCGAGCAG